TGTTTAGTAGTTACTAAACATAATGTAAAACGCAATTAATCCGCCGGTAGCTCTCCCAAGAAAAAAGTTACACTTGAATATAGATTGACATTTTAGCAGCATATACGAAGTAGAAGTAACTGTGCAAAACTTGAAATATTACAATAAATATTAAATATGCTTATTGCCTAAAACTCGCAGGTGGCATCACGAAAAAATTTACGAAAAATCAAAATAATTTTCAAGAAGCACAAAAAAATAAGATTTTTTTTTTTTTAATATTTATATTTTTCTCTCTTCTGAATATCTTCATCACAATAACTGACAATTGGAAATTTAACAAACCTCAAAGTACTTTAACCTTAAGAGCTACAAAAAATCAATCAGTAGGGAAGTTGGCCTCAAGCTTGGTACTCCACGAACAATTTTTAGTTTTCAACAGAGAGCTTTAATTTCTTTGGAAAATCGTAATCGCATACAGTACCCTGGCAGAACATTTTTAAGGAGAAGGGGGTTGACAATTCAAAATTGGAATTTCGGAAGACTTAAGGTGAACAGAAGAATCTTATCTAATAACTGAGAAATAGCGCAAATTATATTATTTTGAATTTGGCGGTGTAAAGTGTTAAATGGGCCATATTTTTTCAGGTACCTTATAAGTTCTTGCTCATTCAATGTTTAAAAATAAATACATAAACAAATAAAAATGATATAATCAACATGCTAGCTTTGTAGTGATGCTTAAAAAAATATAAACAATATATAAGAATTACATTCATCTGAATGCCTTAAGAATTATTTTTAACAAAAAATATAAACCTGATAAGGATAAGAAATATTCAAGTATGAAAAGTATAATTTTTCTACTAATGTTAATTGCATACATTATCAGTTCACAACATAATGCGTCCAACAACTTTTATTATTATGACACATAAAAGTTGTCTTGTGAATAAACACATAATACATTTTATTGCTCAACTTAAAATACCACTTATGCAGGCACAGAACGACATACATTACAATCAGTAAATAGATTACTGTTTTTCTAAACCATAAAAATCCAGAATCCTACGTAGATCTTTAAGCCTTTTTCAGCCTACAGTATACTCTATTATCCGTATGATGATTATCCAGTTTTCAGATTTTTTTTTTAAAGTTTAAATAAAAATCAAGAAAAAAAATTTTTTTGAGTATTTTTGTATATACAATATACAAAAACAGATATATTTTCAGATAGAAATAATTTCAAGAAAATAGATATATTCTTAAAGCAGATACATTTTCAAAATACCAGCTTTGCTTTGTTGCTAGACCTAAGCGGGTTCGTGAAGTTGTCCCCTTGCGGAATATAGCGCACTCAAACTTGCTTAACATTGCGGTTCAAGGGATAACAGAACAAAGTGGTTTGGAAAAAAGATTTTTGTGGAATAATAGAATGAGATGATTCACTTAGTACGCATGATAAACTAACTGTACGACTCAGTTCGCACTATTACGAAACGTACGATATCGTACAAAATCATACGCATGATAACCGAACAAAATAATAGTTATAATTTCTAAATATGTGTCATTAATTCTTTTCATAATCTTTTCTATATACAACTATGCCATTTTAAAATAAACGTTTTTAGTTATCTGTGTTCTAATTTTCTGTGTTGTTCTTCCCAATCATTAGCTCGGATAATAGGAAGTATACTGTATTTGAATTATAAGCCACTTAATTTAAATATATCAACACTTTCAATTTGTAAAATCTATTATTTCGTAAAAATCTAATCTATACAAGGATGTTAAGAAAATGAGAATCGCAGAATTCAATTTTTATACAATTATACACCCCCAGGAAAAGTATTGAGTTGAAATCACCATACAATGTAAGAAAAACGCATCTCGACCTAGAATAATTACGAAATTTCAAAAAAATCAAACAGGGCAGTATGCTATTTATTATTTATTTACTAATTCTACAAACTCATACTAATACCCAAAAGCAGGGAGATAGAGCATATACAGCATTTTTTTTCTAGACCCAGATGGAAAAAAAAAATGCAATTGAAAACGAGTTGGGCCAATTTTTTGCAGATACTGACTGTTATTGAAGCAAAATCATGGGCGATAATGTTGCTCCAAGAGCTTTTGATCACAAAAACTATAACCTTATTTTTTCTGCTAAACTTGAGACATTTTTTAATTTTTTAATGTAATGCAATTGAAGATTCTTTAAGAGTGCTTAAGTTAGTTTTTCTTCCACCCAGATCAATAATTTTACTATTTTCGATTCAAACAATCGTTTTGAAGAACACGAAATGCGGATCAATGCGTTGAACGAAAAATAAAACTTGCTTTTGATGTTGTAAGCGAAACTACAGACAGTAACTTCATCAAAATTACATTTTGGAACTTCCTGAGTTCTTTTAATTTTATTAGAGCCGCAAGTGGATTTGATTTTATGCTGATGAACCATTCTTTTACAGAACTAACTACAAAATACCACTTATAAAACATGGTATTTTATGGCACATATAATTCCCATTAGATTGTCTTCTAAAATTAGATTTTTTTCAGTTTGTAAAAAAAGCGCCGTTTGATTTTAAATTCATGGTCGATATATATGGACATTCTGCATGCTAAACCAATATTTCATTGATTTGTTAATGTAAAAATTTATTTCAGAGTACTGTGAACTCATAATTTTAAATTGATAAAGTCTAACAGCTATGTTAACATGCGAAAAACAGCAAATTTGAGAAAATGACACCTTTATTCGACAAGTACTATTTATGGACAATTTTTTTTTCGTAAAAAAATATCTTCATGCAAAATTAGTAAAAAATTAGCTTAAAATCTGGAATTACCCATTCCAGTTTTAAGGAATTAAAAAAATTAATCTTTTAGTAACAGTAAAATAGTCGATTTTGTTTCGGATTTAAGAGCAATTTAGTTTAAACGCGCAGAAAAACCAAGTTGTACATTTTTATTGGGCGACATGTTATGAATTTTTTTAAAAATCTGGAATGAGAAAAATCAAACTCCCTAAAAGAAACTCGGCTTAATATTTTTTTCCAGCTTTCGCGCAATAAAATTTTTTAATTTTTTTTTAAATAATAAATGATTTAAAAATTTCTTAAGCTGTATGCAATTTTTTTCCTTATTTAAGTATACATAATTTATTCTAGGTCGCGATACTCTTTTCTTACATCACATGACAATGTAAACCTCGGCTCTAAAAAAATTTCCGGAGCTGTAGTTTTTAAAAGACTTTTATTATTAAAATCTAATTTTTATTAGTTTTATAATACTAATGATTTAGTTATAAAATCTATTGAAATTTAAATAATTAAATATTTAGTTATTTTTCAATGTGAGTAGAACTCTATTTATGTATTTATTGATCATCATGCAAGATAAAAAAGACTTGATTCTCTAAAACAGTCAAATAACAATCAACAATAAAAATTATGTTAAAAGTAGTTTCAAATATAAACAGCGGGAACCTTTAAAGCTTTCTCATATTAGAGAAGACCAAAGAAATTATTTAAAACTTTATTTTTCATGAAATTTTTTTATTTTTAGGTGGTTCAAGTTTCTAGAAAGAGCTGAATAAGCGTGAGCTGTACGCGACAAAAAAAAAAAAAGAAATGTACGTTTATATATTTATAGTATATATATACTGACGGAAAAAATATCCCGATATCACAAGAAGGAGTTGTGCTAGATAAACTGTATTTGGTAGGCTTGTTTTTATGGTGTCTATTCAAATTTCGCACTTGGTGCATAAATTTGGCAATATAGTAGCACCACTGTGAATATGCAAATCAGCGTTGCCTTAATTACTTGTTCTATAGCACGTAAGCGCTATTTTTCGTTACATTTTGACATAGTGAGTTGCTGTTAGTTAACAATGCCTTTAAGAAGACGAAGTAATTATCGACAGATCACTGACTTCGAACGTGATCGTGTAAGAGGGCTACTAGAAGGTGGATTTTCTTTCTGCGATATTGCAGAAAGACTGGGGCGAAATGCATCCACTGTGCATGATTGTTGGCAGCAATGGTCAAGGGAAGGTACTGCTGCAAGAAGACTGGGTTCTGGTTATGGCACCACGTGGCACTACTCAGAAGGAAGACCGGAGTGTACGGTGTATGGCTGCGTCTCACCGTACTGCTTCTGCATTAGAAATTCGAGCTGCAGTTGGCACTGCAGTGACACATCTGTCACAAATTAGCTATATCAAGTGCAGTTCCGATAGCTTTGATACCACTCACTCAGAACTACTGTCATTTACGACGGGGTGTCGAGTCAGAGCTCACTTTAGGACAGAGTGGAGATCTATTGGGTTTTCTGAAGAAAGTCGATCCTGCCTTGGTGCCAGTGATAGCCAGTGATTGGTTAGAAGGAGGCCAGGTGAGCGTCCACTACCAACCTGTCCCCGGCAAAGACACACTCGAAATACACCTAGAGTTATGGTCTGGGGAGCAATTTCTTATGACAGCAGGATCACTTTCGTCGTTAGTCCGCTTACCTTGATTGCAAATTCGTGCGTCAACCAAAGATTCAACTTGTTTTAATACCGTATATGAGCAGCAGTCAAGGGGGTATTTTACAACAGGATAACATTCGCCCTCTTACTGCTGTTGTAACTCAATATGCTCTACAGAATGTCGACAAGTTGCCTTAGCCCGCAAAATCCCCAAATCTTTCACCGATCGAGTACGTATGGGACATACGGCATCTGTGTAACACAATGCATGCCCGTTTGCATGCTTGCATTCAAAACTCTGATGGTTACACAAGTTATTAATGTACCAGTATTTCACATTTGAAATGGTTTTCCTCTTACTTGCATTAACCTGTGATTTTGAAACTTTAATAAATTAAATATGTTACTCAGACAAGCGTATTGTCAAAACAAAATTTCATTACTATACAAAAAAATTTTCTTCGTGTTGGGATTTTTTTTTCCATCAATATATATATATATATATATATACTTATANTATATATATAACCTTCCTTTTTGATAATTATTCATCCATATCCTATTAAAAATAGATTTGTATACCCAAGTGCTAGCAATTTTTAGAAGTAATTATCATAATAAGTTTTTCTCCTAATAATGTAAGAAATCTTGTGACTTATGTCAAGGGAGCCAATTGGAACAAAATGTTTCCTTCTTTAACATATGGCAAGGAGATAATAGAGAAAACTAGCAAAGCTTTTTCCATATATAGAGAATAGAGCATGTATGCTTCTGCATAAATTTCCAGATTCGCAACTGTATTTTGAGACTAATAAAAATAATTAAGAGTCTTCACTGCCTGATTTCTGTGCGCCATAATACTCGACGATGTACTTCATGTTTAGTCATCAGGATTGGTTTTAATTGGGCGTGGTAAGTGTTTTACCCACGAATAAAACAGAAAATGTTTCGAAACGCCATTATTAGAGGAAACTACTGCTAGCATAAAAGCAAGGCTGTCAAAGGAATTTATCAACTACTGAAACTGCTGAATATTTTTTCCTAGATGAATGAAACAGAATGGTATAACTTTCCCTCATGGACTCAAAACGATGGAAATGAATAAATGAACACTCTGCTAACATGCTGCACATGTCTGGAAGAGAAAAAAAAAGTGTTTTAATAGTGTTGTGTGTGACAAGTCTTTACTGAGAAAAATTATGAAATTATAAAAACCCGTTCCATAGCATATATTTTAAGAAGATTCCCGCTCTTTGTGTTTTTGTTTTTCTTCGCAGTTTAGAAAATCTATGAATATCTTTCTACAAAAGAAAAATTTATTTCGTGTGTCCCAAAGGGATTTTTTCCCCCTTTCCTTTTGATATTGTGCAAGAAGAAAGTGTGAAGTATTAAAGATTCTTAATCTACACCCTGCCTGATTCTTGTGCTACCTCAGAGTGTTAATTTGATAACAAAAGTCACTGTAACAGAGTAATAATATCTCTAAAGAAGCCTTTAAATTTTTATTCAAACCAAATTAACTTATTTCATGTCCCAAAATAATTCAATATTTTATTAAATCTCAGTAAATGTTTGATAATTAATTTAAGAAAATACAATGGGGTTTTTTAAAACTGTGTTTTACTAATAATTAGTTCCCACTTTTCTTTAAATAGAATTTCACTATATTTTGTTCTCTTAAATGGAACATAATAATTTAACATATAAACAACAATAGCTCGGTATATATTAGTTACAACTATTTAAACAAGCTTTAACATTGACTGCAACCATCACCAATTTAAATTGGTAGGATTTACTCATCACATTCTTGAATAATCATTTTTTCATCTTTCTCAACATTAAATTAACACGGTTAAATTCATTCATAAAAATACTTTCACCAACCGTCCAATATCAAGAGATTCTATAATAACATCACATTGCTTATATCAACATTAACTGAGACTAAACATAACGAAAAATTAAAATACAATTTAAAGAGCCTTCTTAGCATAGTTGTGTAAAGAAATATAAAGATAATATTCCAGTTTGTATGAACGAAAAAAGCTTGATCAGAGCTCTTTATAAGTGGAGAATAAAGCATGTAGTTACATACATCAAATTGATGTAGTAAATACATAGTCTCATCAAACTGTGTTCCACTTTATGATGCAAATAGTGAACAAATAGTTGAGCGTTTGGAATTTTTAATGCTTTGTTTTTTCTTTTCTAATCTCGCTCCAAGATCTGAAATAGATCGTACTAACGGTAAGTGAAACCGTTGGACATTTGATAATAATTTAAAACTAGCATCTAGTCACTTTTGATCGTCTTTAAAAGTGACAGTTGGAGTACCAGCATTATTGTGCGACTCATCAAGTTGGCGAATCGAAGCATTGTCCGTAGTACCATCAGCACTGGCTACAGATTCCTCCGGAGTTTTAGAAATTTCTGTTACTTCTTGGTCATGTTGGCTTTGCTTATGTCGATGGTGAAATGTTTGCAAGGAAAACTTGCGATGCGTGCCTTTCCGTCCACCTCGACGTCGGGAGATGTGAGGATTACCTTTGCGCATTGATACTTGTTTCATATTGTGTAGTTGAGTATAGAGTTTGCGGAGTTCATTCTGTAAAAAAAAAATTCGGTAAGTTAAATTAATGTAAAAGCAAACTACAGTTTTCTGAAAAAACATGTAGTCTAATGAATTATAATTGTAATTTATCTTAACGAAACGAAAACGTGCGGTATAAATAGGAATAATGTAACTTGAAGATTTGAAAAGTAATACCAAAAAAATACTAAATTACACTTTTGACAAAATATTCGCTCTTGATTAAGTATTCAACTACCATAAAAAAAATTAAAATAATAACCTGAATGATAACGATTGTTATCATTGCATGTGGATTTTACAGCAGCAAAAAGGGAGGTAAATTTTAATTAATTCTTTCTTTTTTTCATATAACTTTTCTGGTGTTCATGAGGATCGAAATATGAGCAAATTAAAAATTACAAAAAGAATAAAAAATTTGGTTAAATTTACAATTGCGTCTGGGAGCTAAATTTTCCTCCAATTCAATTATTTCTTTTCCATTACATTTAAAAAGTTAAGAAGAATTCTGTTAGACAAAATTTTGATATCATTAAAAAAAATTATTAGGTTGTTAAAAAAGTTCTGCAACATCATCCCTTGCTGAAAGATCTCTTTTATAGCAATAACGAATCAAAACCCGAAATTCAATTTCATTCAAAGTCATTTAGAGTTTATTGATGAAAGTTTAGACTAAGAACCCCAAAAAGAACAACAAAAAAGGAAAATTGATAAAAGTTGATATTTTTGCAAGTGTTACAGAACTTTTTTAATAACCAAATACAACTTAATTTCCAAAAATGCTAAAATATTTTTTTAGGTTTACACCTATTAGCCGGGACAGTTCAAAGCAATCTTTTGAAAAAAGTAAAAGAAATTGAAAAAAAAATAAAGACGATAAAATTTCAATGTCTTGAGCATTTTGTGCCCCATAAAGTGCTAAGAGCAAAAAGTTAATAGGGTATAACATTTTATTTGACTGTATTAACACTGTTAAAATGCATCGTAAAATATTAATATCAATCTATTTTCGAGAACTGAAGTTTAATAACCGTATCAACAAAACACTTTAAAAGATGCACCAATTTTTTTTAAAATTATTTTTCATAACTTTTCAAATTCGCAAATACTCGTGTTCGTTTAAACAGTTTGATTCTTCTGATCATGAGTTTAAATTTCTCATTGCGTACCATTTAATATAAAAGTTAAAGTTTCAGAATCAGACCCAATGCTTAGTGTTAAATATTTAAACTTTTCCTTCTATTATTATTATTACTATTATTATTACTAATTTGCATTCCGAGGATTTAAAATTTTTAGCACAAAAAAATAATTACTTTAGAGGAAGAAAGAAACACAATTATTGCTCTAAATGTTGTAAACTAAATTTTTTTTATCTGATACCCAGTTTGAAATCGTTAAAATTTTTTATCATATTTTCACTTGCATTGAATCACCTCGTAATCTACATAAATACTGTACTGGATTTAGTTATAAGTCCACTTGTAGAGAATTTGATACGAATTCCGCATCCGGCTTGCCCCGATTACAGTGCTGATGTAAAATATCCTCAGTGGATCGTGGGTTGGAGTCCCCTTGCCTTCAGACTAACCATGGGATGTTTTCTCGGTTTTCTTCTCCATGTAACGCAAATGTGGGTTAGTTCCATCAAAAAGTCCTCCACGAAGGCAAATTTCCCTTCATACTTGATCCAGGAATTCTATTGTCTTCTGGATTGGGCTCAAAATTAAAAAGCTACAGAGTTGATTATTAGTAGTCGTATACCCAAAACATTTTGCCGGCTGTTCAACAACGGTTGTAAAATTATGAAATAAAATGATAAGCTCTATATCGCTTTACCTCTGCATTTAAAAAGCGCATGATCATGTGGTACATGATTTATTATTGAAACGCTACTATGTGATGATGTGATGATATGATGATGTGAAAAATACTATTTTTTTGCTTGATGGAAACTGGACATAAGATTTATATTGTATAAGAACTTGTTCTGTTCCACTTTCTACAACCATTTATCAGAGCAATACTCAGATCATTTTAATTAACAACAGATTTTAACTTTTAACTTACAGAGAAAAAAATAAGCAGTGTTCAACTTCATAATTGTCGGAAGCGAAAGTTTCATGATAGTTGTTAATTGATCTGGGTAGCGTGGTAAAACATAACGTTTAATTTAATCGAACACAATGTTGGCATTTTCTCCATTAAAGATGTTTTTATAGTGAGCCTAGATTTTCATAGCAAATGCTAGATTTTTATTAATATTGTTTTAAGTACAAACAAAATTATCACAGAGTTTTGATGCTCAAAAAAATTAAAAAGAGATAACTAAAGAAATTCAGGACATGAAGAGGTAACATGAAAAGATAACCGTTGGCATTTTTAGAGATCATTTCTTCTCAAATTCTTTTAATTGTTGATTCGTGGTTAAGATCTTGGCATACGCTAAAAAATGTAATAGAGCTTTGTCTATACTCTGCTATAAAATAAGAACTGTTTCAATTGGTTATCTAAAATAAAATTGAAGTAAAAGTCCAGTTCATAACTTTCGAAATAAATTTAAATATTCTATTATTTCTATAATAAATACGCAGAAATACTATAAAACCAGAGTTAAAAATCATAATATAATGAAAGAATTAGGCAGAAGAGCATCTTTGATTACTCTCTAGCTAAAATAGTATAAATTAATAAGTCAAAATTCTACAAGAAGACAAAAGGCTATTCATCATTTTATATTTTATTTAGTTTCTAGCACTGTACAAGGTCAAATCATACTGTTCCTTTCCCTTCAGAAGTTTTAATACATATATCTTGTATTTATAATATCACTGTATCTATAATATCTATAATAAGAAGATCACTGTATTTTCATGTTGTATATAACTTTATTACTTTCTTTTATAATAAATATTTTATTTCTATTTTATACTTATTGTGGATACTATGCAAAGTTATGTTGTTTTTGTTGTTGTTTCTAATGCCACGTGCCACATTAGAAAGCCTGCTTGGTGTAACCTAGCAAGTTTAAGGCAGAGAGTGAGTTTCTTGTTTTTCAGTGGCGCCATCTATGGCCACGAATTCGTCTTCAGCCACACACATGTCACAGCCAGTTTCTAGGGCGGACCCATTCATACATCCATTCATTCATCTACGGATCGTAATTTTGACCTGAATCAGAGAACGATCAATCTCCAATCCAGTACCCCCAGAGGTATTGATTTGTTATGGGAGCATGGAGGACTTTGCGACTCGACAGATTTAACGTGCATCGATGCAAAGTTATTCAGTTTACAATCAAAGACAGAGATAAGAACACAATTTTTGACGTCATAGCATTGAGAATGATTCGAAAGGTTTTTTCTGTATACAAGGCGTTTGGGAAATTTTTAATAAAAGGTGTAAACTTGAAGAAAATTATCCTTTCTACGGCTTGCAGATTAAATAAAAATATTCATCGAATATTTTTTAAACGTTTCTTTGTATTCCTGATGTTATACATAATTAACGTTTTCGAGAACATTTGTGCTGTGACTGCGAGGGTATTTGATAATTATAAGGACGCACAGTTTTATTTCCTATAAATTCAAATCATGAACAATTTTTTATTTATTTATGTAGCACACTTTCATGCGAATTTTAAAAAAAAAAATGTGGTAAATTTTTTCAAAATTACTTTACTGAAAATTAACCTACTCGAATTTCCTCAGGATCCATATCAGCAAAATTCACTTCTGAAACATCTATCTCACCATTTGCTGTACATTGTACCCCTTCCTGTAATTTCACAGCTTCGGGTACGTCACGTACATCACCACAGGATGAAAGTTGACGTCCTGTTTGGTATTCTTCTGGGGGACGGGCGTGGTACCACAGCTAATAAGAAATAAAAATACAATTTTATTTACTACTTCATAATTTCAGAATTATATTGTAAGAGGGTTTATATAAAGCTATAGTTCTCTTGTGCTTTGTTTCTAGGAAACTAGTAGATCTACACAGACCAAATTCTTCGTATTTTTTTTTCTTCATAATTAGAATAAAGCGCTTGAATTTAAAACAAAAAATAAATAAATAACGTTGATAAGATATTTCGAAAATAATACTAATAAAAGAAATATACTATTATTATTATTACCATTACTTATTTATTTATTTAAAAAAATCCGAAAACTTTGAATGAAGTTTAAGAAAATTCTGAAACTTATTAAAATAAACCTGACTCTCTCAACATGAAAATATAAACTAAATGAACTAGGGATCCTCTATTTTATCACCTGTGTAAAAATTGACCATATTTGCAACGGATGTTTGATTATCTCGTCAGACGTTTTGAAAATCGCACACCCTTCTATGTTTTTGAAAAAGAAACTGTGAGGGAAGAGATCTTGGAGCCCTATGTTTGCCTTTTCAGGGAGGCAATTGATCTTGATTTAAATTTTAATGGACCACAACATGTAGCCACTCAGAGCATCTGAATGACGATTTTCTGGAAAGTAAAGTGAAGATAATTGTCGGATAGATTGATCAGCTAGCTCTCCAGACTTCCGCCCTATAGAGCATGTCTGGGACTCACAGTGCTCCAAAAGGAAAAAAAAAACGAATGACACACAATAACTTTTGATCTAATGATCGGATTTTCACGTACTAGGACTCGATCTTAATGGTTCAAAAGGATGACTTCAAATATGCTAATTTGTAATAGAGATATTTAGAGATAAGAAATTAGGCATTGAAACGTACTTCCTCGAATTAACGTACTTTTTTACTGGAGGATTTGGATTTCAATAAAATTTTAAGAAAGTCTGATATTTGAAATTCGATTCAAGAGCTATTAGATTGATTTCGTTCAAATTTTGTATTTTGCCACATAAAATTTCCTTCTTTAAAATGGTGTGAAAATTTGTGTACCTTACAATCCTAATTTTTTTAGGGGGGTGTCATTAAATAAAATGATAAAAAATAATTAATAATTATTAAAAATGATTATTAGTAAGGAATTATCTTTAAAAAATTTAATTATATAATTGAGGGCAAAAATTTTTCGATTCCCTTAAAAGTTCTCGATATATGGCAAAATATGCAGAAAGTAAAACTAATGTTAAAGGGTCCAATCTTTCGACAGCTCTCCTGACCAAACTATTAGGACAATATTTTAAAGATTGCTACTACCTCCTATATTTTTGAGTTACAGATTGATTAAGTTCATGTTGATTCTTCTGTCGAAAAAAAAAGAATGTTCAGAGAAATTATACTTTCGTGTCTGATTTCGAAACTTAAAATATCCTCTGCACTAATTAATTAGCATATTTGAGGTCTCCTCTTTGAATCATTAAGATTGAGTCCTAGTACGTGAAAATTTGATCATTATATCAAAGTTATTTAAGGTGATTCATTTTTATTTTTATTTATTTATTTAATTATTTTTTGCTCACTGTATATTACATACTGTGAGCATTAAAATTGCTACACCAGAAATAAGTGAATACTGCAGAATGGTATTTCTTATACAGGCAGATATTGTAGTGCAAATAATAAGTGATTAAATTTGCATGTAATTACATTATATATTCAGTGAATTCAGTGATTCGTATAGATTCTGTGAATTCAGCGATTCGTATAGATTCTGCGAACTCAGGGAAATCAAGACAATGAGTCAAGAAGATATTGCATGGCATCACATGCTCACTTTCAATCGTACAAAAGATTGCAATTCAAAAAAGATAATCCTAATAGTTTAGTCAGGAGATCAGTAATTTTAATTTCACTTTTTGCTTATTTCGCATAATCCTAAAAACTTTTAAGGGAATATGTCATGATGCGTCATTGCAGTGGCCACTATATAAAGCTTCCTAACTCTCCTAGGCCGCGGGCCTACAACTATGGTTGTTAGAGCATCCTGCTACGAATACGAAAGTCCTTGATTCGAATCCTGCCGGCAGCCAACGAACATTTCTCCTTTCATTTCACTTTTGAGACTTCGTGTTTCGCTCAAAAATGAGTATATGCTGTTTTAATTTTGAATGCATGGAAATGTCAAATTCAACCATTATTTTTTTCGAGCTACTTTGAAAAAAATTTCCTAGTAATTATTTGTCCTTTAAATTTTGGACTAAGCTTTTTTTTAACTGGTAAACTAGGTTATTTTCATTGAAATTTATACCGGCTGATTTATATGACTGATTTAAAAAATTGCAAATCAATTGCAAATTCGAATACTTTAAAGAAATGCTAAGCTTTCTGTCCTGAAATTATTGTCCCATTTCAAACTTGCTTTAAATTATCGAATTAAAAGACTGAAAAATTCAAATAAAAGATACACTCTGCTTTAAACTTGTGGTTTACCTGTGGAATGGACTTTTCTACTTCTTAATACTTGCATACTTTTTACTTCTAATAATATATATGATAAATAAATAAATAAAAAATCATTTGATTTCTATTTAAACTATTCAAGAAATAAATGTAGTTTTTAAGACACCTATCAGAAAATGTCATCATATAATCATTTGACAAATGAAGCTTTGACTGCTGAAAATATTTTATAAATAATCAAGACTTATTAGCTCAAGAAAAATTTAAATAATCGTAAAACACACTTACTTTTGGTGCAAAGATGAAAAACAAGATTATAGTGACAGTGCACTGGCAACGAAGAAAATATAAAAGGTAAATGTAATCTGGCAACAGATTGGACCACACAACATGTCTACAAAATAATAGTTTAATTTATAGATTTTTATGGCGAACGTTAATATTGAGTAAAAAAAAATGACATTTTTGTTTTGTACCTGATAGTATACATGAGCAGTGATACTAGAGCTTCAATGTAGACAGACCAACATAGCACTTCTTTTTCATGCAATACGTCTGATTTAGCATTTCGAACTTTATAAGTAAGGAACACGCCAAATACCAGAAATAAGAGTTCACCTAAATTAATATATATATATATTCTCATTAGGGAAAGTAAATTTACATTAAAAAGACGAAAAAATTAAAGAGATTTCGAAATCTGGCGATTAACTATTAAGGAATACTTGGTTAAAAATATTTTTAAGAAAACCAGTTTGATTGCCGGATTACTTTTGAAGGTATTCTAATAATCCCCTTTCTTTCTCTCCGTTCCCTATAGCAATTAAATATGCTTGGTGCTTTCAGTACTGCTTTTCTCAGCTGTGATTCGATAGATTTTGATAGAGTTTCTACTTTTCTGAGCTGTAACGCTGCTCCAAATGTGCACATTTTTTACGTTACTTTTAACCAAAATTTTAAGAATATATATTAAGGCCGTAATTATGTAACATACTAGAAATAGATAGAAAAGAGTACGAAAATGAGTCAGTCTATAATTTATGTGGGGCACATAAACCTGCAGAATAAATTGCTTAATTTCGAACGTTCTTGAGAAATACGGTGTTACAAATATTTATTTTGAATATTAATAGCGATGAATACGGAATAGTTTTTTTTTTTTGTTGCATTTTTAGGTATCTGCTCGTGTAGTTATTTTTACGAAATGAATTTCAAGCGTTTGTAACATAATTACCCCACCGGACCATATTTAATTTATATTTAATTTTGAATTTTTTTTCCCATATGTGATGTTTTTCATCATACATTCTCACCCTCTACCTCTATTGCCTTACCTATAACTCTGTTAAGCACCTTTACTTTGCTAACTTTAATTTTAATCCCTTAAGTTCATTCAGCCTGCATAGGGACCGAGGGCGAGCAGTATTGGTCCTCGCTGAACTGTTCTACCGTAAAGTGCTTGACTTCGCGCGTAGGTCGTCGGACTACCGAAACAGGGGACCCATCCCCTCTGCAGATTATCAAAATTGCGATGGCATGTCTTCGGATCATCCTCAGGGATGCTTCATAGAACATCACCAATTCACCTTATCTGTAGGCGGAGCTTATTTTTGCTTGCAGACGTAATGGTCCACATAAACTTCCGGAGCAACCGGAACTTATTTCTTTTCTAATGTTTTTACTTAGGCTGATTCAATCATGAAAAATTCATTTTTAGGAAAAATACATAAAAGTTAAATAAAGGTTGCTTGAATACATAAAAGTTAAAAAAGAAATAAATGTTCTTTGAAGTGTGTTTGTTTTTAAAGTCTCTTAATAACTCAATATAAAGCTCTATACGCAAACATTGCCTGGAATTATTACAGAATAAAGCTCTACGCTTTTTTTTTTTTTTTTTTTTTTTAACACGGGATATATTTTTTTCTACTCAGTGATGAAGTCAAGGGCCCATGTTATCCCTTTCCTGAAATTTTGAGTTTAAAAAAAGTATATAATCTCAACAAAAGGAACTTTTCTGTATATATTTGTTAAAATTTTTCCAAAAATAATTTTTTATGTAATATATACAGTATTCCTATTCTTTAAATTTCAAGATTTCATCAAGCGTAATTTAAAATAAAATTGGTACTTTCCCATAATGTAATGCAAAATTTAAGGTAATATCTAAATAGAGAAACACGACTTTTATCACTAAATAATTCAGATTCGTGTGTGCTATATTTGACATATTAAAAATAAAGTTACTTTAAACCAGAGGTGGCATTTTGTGTGGCACACAAACTCAATTTAAATTGAAAAAAAAAAATAATTTCTAAAAAGAAATTTTAAATATAAAATAATTATTTAAAATTAAAACAATACCGAAATCACATTAGTGTTTGTATCCTTGTAAGTTTTCTCCTTATTATTTGTAATTGTAAAATTGTTTCATTGAAAAAAAAAAGTAATTAAATATAATTTTCTGTTTATTATTTTCTTGCTCATTTAAATATATAAAAATGATGAGCAAAAATTGTGATTGGTTAAATGTTAGCCATTGTTTAAATTTCACTAGAAACAATTCAATTTTTCAAGATTTTAAAGATAACTTCTGTGATATTTGCTAACTTATAGCTTAATTTGATCTAGAAAAAGAAGTTACTGTACGTGTAATAATTCGACGAACAACATTAACACGGTAGTACTTATTGACTTGACATGAAATTTGTATTAATAATTGCCATGTTCAAGATTTTTTGCACTAAAAGTGGTGCACAGGATGCTTAGTGTTGACTATCCCTGCTTTGAACAATTAAACTTCCTAAAGAAAAATAAAGTAAATGCATTTTAAGAAAATTTGATGAAGTAACATATCTCTTGTTTTTTTGTTTGCGTGCGGGAATTGAAGATATTGCTTTTACTTAGGAAAGAAAAAAAATATTTGAATTATGAAATTTAATTTTTTGATGAAAATAAAATTTCTGTTGCAAATTGACGATAAAGCCACATTTTGTACTTCTTTTAATATCCTATCCAAAAGTTACAAGTTTTAAGCTGCGCATTTTTTTAGAATGCCATGAATAAGTAGTATACCTGCGAGGTAAATATATCTTAACTTAATATTTAGCTACTAGAGATCAGTGTCTTTTAAAAACTTAATTGCATCTCATATTTTAAACTTTAAAATAACTCTCCAGAAAAAGGATCAGACAACTGAATATTATTATATGATTTTTTTTTTTTTTTTTTTGCCATCATCATTCAACTTGTGATAATAGGAAAAGCTCTTTTCGATTTAATAAAAAAAAAAATTATTTCCAAGCAACAAACGTTATCAAGATAAGAGAAACGCCAACAATGTTTGGAAATCTAATGCAAAACATAATAAGAAGGCTGTAGCGATGTAGCGGAAGTTCGCACGGACCGGGTGAAGTTACTTCCGCTTTTAGATGTTTGTTTGTTTATTTAGAAAACGAGGTGAATAGCCCATTGTGCAGCCCTAGTGCTACGTGAAAAGTACCTACCCTACCTACCCTTAAGTTTATCTATCTATGTAAGCTATAAGCTAATTCTGTTATCTTAATATCTCTCGTTTTATGCTTTGAATGCTTCCAGAATGTTTGAGATGTCAAAAAACGGAAAAATCTCTTGGAAAAAAAATTTCCGGTAATTTTTTTTTTCTGAAACTTTCATTAGTTTGTCTATAAATAAAATGGTTATTTGACATTAGAGATTTTGAGTGAGATATAATTATGAAAATAGACTACAACTTGGATGTACTAGTTAACTTCCAAAATTATTGATATATGTATATATATATGTAACACAAAAATTAAATACTTTTGTATTAATAAAAGCATTAAAACTTCATTCCTTTTCATAAAATATCTTTAGTAAAGGATAAGGGTAGAAATTCTATTTTGGGATTTCAAGGCTAAAAACATGCCAATGAATAATAATTAGATTTATACTTCAAAAGAGAAGTTATTTTAAGATCTTTCACTTCCATATAAGGAAAGATTAAACGATTTGCTTTGAGTAATAAATAAATTTGATGAGGCGTAAGAATACAAAAAAGATATATGACTGAACTTTTTACTCTTTTTAATCATCCTATATAACGCAGGACCTAATGTTTTTGCGTGACTTTTGTTGTTTATCATGCTAAAATAAAATCCGTTAGCTTAGACGGGATATGTGTTCCCCCTCTCCCGCTTTGGAGAGGGGTTAAACTGCTATTTCACCATCGTAACTTAATAAAAGAAGATTATGCACAATCTGGACTCTTCAATCATGCTTCTTTCACCTAATTAACTAAAAAATATCGGTGTGGATAAACATATATAGTATATATAAATGTTTATGATGCTACTTGGTGATCCTTTTTTAAAAGGTTGAAACTCCCAGTTAAAATGATTTTCATGCTCGCGTGATAAAAAAAGAAGAAGATTGTAATGAAAAGTTATTTTGTGGTTGATATCAGCATTTTTTTTACATTCTGTGATTTCAGAATCTTTACACCATCCATATTTTGTAGTGATTTTAATTGCTCTATTTCAATTTAACTTATTGGTAAGCTATTAAAATTCTGTCTCACCGACTTCTGTAACATAATCCCACCAAAGGCCACGGCACATATCATATTTGAGACCAGTGGATGTCTGTTCATGAACTATTACACTATATCCTTCAGTCATATTATCTATTATTACGGCAGTCCAAGCAAGAAGGTACCCAATAACTACAGTAATGATTCCTAAAAGATACTTGAGCAAATCCTTGTCTCGTACACAGACTCTGTGAGCTTTTCGTGTTTGAAATTCAGCTAATATCCTAAAAATAAAACATTTAAAATATTCCTTAATATTAATTTGTAGATATGTGATTTTTATAAACAAAAAAATTAAAGCATACTTATCATGGTAGGAACAGTTAATAATCAATTCGTTTTTGCGAATAATGCGGTAAGTATTTGAAATAATCCCCTTCTCTAATGGTTATATAAGTTACCCCTTCTCTAATGGTTAATGGTTAGAGTAACGCTTGTTCAGATTGTTTTGCACAAAATCTTGCTTATATAGATGCTTAAAGAGGTTGTTTAAAGAACAATGTACAGTATTAAACAGTATTAACAGTATGGAAATCGAGTCATCTATTTTCTATCAGATCGTATATATCTAAGCAAAATAATAAATATTAATCAAAGGTTATTTTATTTTAGGATCAAATCATTGGGCGAGTATCCTGACTTGGAGCTCTCGGAGAGCTCTCCTTAATGTTCTGACCACTGCCGCTCGAAAATGGTCAAAAATGCTAAATCAGTTTTAATTTTAGGAGAAGGGGGAGGGAGGTATACTCTCCCTCCCTCTCTCTTTTTATATTAATGAAATATTTTTTGCGACATAAAATGTTTTGAAAACAAACTTTTAAATTTAATGCAAATAACTCTGTACCAGTTGTATTTTTTATTGTAACTTTTCCATCAAAATGAAAATTCATATAAAATATGCATCTAGAAATTACGAACTTGATTTCTGTATTTTCTGTTTCGTAGAGCCTTTGAAGTGAGTTTCAATCTCAAACTTTTGAAATGTATGCAATATTTTGTTATCTTTGCAATTTGATAGTTTTTCTTAAAAAAAACATTTCATTTAACACAAAGTCATTTATTTATTTAAAAATGAAAAGGTTGGAATATCTCTGCTCTTTTTCTTAAGATTTTAAGATTGAAAACGATAAAATTCTAAATTATTTTCGAGCGGCAGCATCAGCATATTTTTTAGCCCGCTTTCATAGCACCAAGTCATACAACTCGCCCATTGTTTACATTTCAAACATTGAAAAATTTAGAGCGTGCTCCAATTAGCTCCATGTCATGTAACACGCCCATTTTAATCATTAACAAGTACAGCAAAATCGTTCAAAATTCTTTTAACAACAGTTAAGGAAATTTTGAGACATTCATTTTGTATTTCGTCTATTGCCAACTTGTTATCAATTAAGAGCTTAATCTTGATTTAAATATATTTCTCCTGAACAAACTATTCATAATTTTATGATAAAAAAAATTTTTCAATTTTTTTCATTTTTAAAATCTTTGATTTTTGAAATAAATATTATTTTTTCCGAATTAATATTTAAATAATGAATCAATTGATATTTTAAACAGTTTCTTAATCTTGAACATAAATCCTGCTTTATGTTTTCCTTTGCTACATTAATAAACGATAAGCAATATTAATATTATTATTATCCCTTTAACCAATTCGAGATCGCAATGCTCGAATACGCCCTCTAGCGGAGAGTTTATTTTCAGGCTTTTATTTATTAAGTTTTCATTTAGTTGTAACAGAATTATTGGCAGAGTAGAACACCTTTTTTAGCAGCAAATAAGAAGCAAAATTTTCCTAAGGAAAAGGCTGAAGAACATGAAAAAACGACCAGAACATTGGTAAATCTTTCTGAAGAAGAACACGCCTCATTTTCTCAATAATTTTTACCTTTCTATTGTCAATAAACTTGCAACCGATAACTTCCGATTTCACGATCGCATACTGTTACAGATGTGTGTATTACGGTAAAATACATTTTTTTGTGTTAAATTTATTACAAATTAAAGTGAAGTCAACATTGTTTACTTCTTTCCAATGAATAAATGTGATTTCAGAGCGTGTAGAACTGTAATAGTTATAGAATATTCTTCTTTATAGAATAGTATAGATTTCTGTATCTATATAATTCGAGAAACAACAGTAAATAGTCATCCGAATTACTTGAAATAGTTTAATTTGTGTTGATTATTAATAAATTTTTATCGCTTTCTTGGTAAGTATTTTTTAATTTTGAATGAATAATTTCAACTAGAATTCAGCTATTCTATTTTTAAGCTACATAATGAAATTCATATCGAGATCTTACAATTATAAAATTTTGTTGTGTGGTATGTCATCTAAAAGTAATTTAGGGATAATCTATGTATATGTTACCGTTAAAGTATATAATGCAGTTATTTCATAGAATACCTAGTTATTCCATGAAATAACTGATCGTGTCCGTTAAAGTGTGTAATATGTTATTCATTTGACACTTTAACTAGTTATTCTATGAAATAGCTAGGTATTCTATGAATTAACTAATGAGAGACAGTTAAAGTGTAAAATAAGAAATTGATCTAAAATGAAATAACTTGGTATTCTATAAATAAACTAATGATAGACAATTAAAATGAAAAAGAAGCAATTTATCTAATTTATGCAGCGTAGAAATGGTATTTATGGAAACGTACCAGAAAATCATTTGTTACAACAAGGATTACTAAAATGACACTTGGAATTGCAAAGAACATTATTTCTAAAACAAAAACATTTTTTGTTGGGAACTCCTGGACTTAGTGTTGGGAGAAATTTGCCTTCGTGGAGAACTTTTTTTGATCGAACACTATTCACCTCATTGAAAGGCGAATGCTTGATCCCCTCAGCCACCACCGCTCCAACGGGTGACATCATCGGTAGCCTAGCTCCACATGGGTGACTCGCGGACGTGACCTGAACATGCCTGCCTCGGACAACACGCCTACCTCAACCAAAACTCCTACTTCGATTTAAACACGCGCAGTTCAATAAATGGTTCACAGTTAACAGTTTACTTGCTATTTGTGACTACGGCATTGTCCTCCTCGCGGTGTTGCTACTGAATTTGAATCACACACAGCGGGGACCTGTACACACTCGACTACTAATTGCAACGCAGGAGTACCATGCCCACAACCATGCTCCTAACACAGCTCTCATGACCGACACTCAAAGTCTGAGGATCTGAATACAGCTCTCCCGGCCTCGTTCAAAACAGTAATGAATCAACTAATGGTATCCATTCATCGAATTCTATCACAGATAAAATTCTGGTGGGAGAGTAATGTATCATAGCTACCACTACAGCTATTAAACCTTTCGCTAGATGATAGTTGACATTGTTGATAGCCTAGCCCCACAACATGTTTCCTAAATATTAAGAAATGTTTTTGAAAGTTATATGCACCGTTGCTTGACCACGTGGATTGCTTTTTGAAAATTACATGCATCAAAACGTTTCGGGATATATTTTTTTTTACTATGTAGCTAAAACTAAATTCTCTTAGTAAAACAGAAATATCAATGATATTTCTTCCAGGACTTTTGCATTGGTTATTGTTTTTTTTTAAAAAGCAGCAATTTTAATGAATATTTGTCTAAAGCTAATTTAATAATTTGTTAAAAACATTCAATTTTTATATAAAAAAGTCTAGTTCAACAATCTTTATAGTTTAAAGCTTTATTTTTTCCTTGCTCAAGTTTATTCGTTAGAACAAAAAAGTTTTTTCCTGTCACTTTTGAGTTAAATATTAAATATGACAATTTAAATTACCACAAAAGATCATTAAAAGTGTAGGTGAAAATCTGATTAACCAAGTCAAAAACTAATTAAGATATAACTTTTTAGCGCACGATGCATTCTTTATTGGGATATATTTCTTAATAAATTAAATTCTCACGCTTAAGACGCATAATATCTCAGATAATTGTATTTGTATAAGTATGCAGCTTTTTCCGCATTTAACCTAACGCAATTATTCTTTACGTTACTATTGTTTAATTTCTTATAGCCATTGGACAATTACTCTTAGTCCTCTTCTTTGATCCTAGTCTGTCTGTCCTTGAAATTGCAAAAAAAAACATTTTATAAATTTTGTGTAAAATTATTATCTTTTCACATTATACTTGAATTTAGTGAGCGCCGGGATAGCCTGATTGGTAGGACACTGGGTCCATGTCCAAGAGTTCGTGGGTTCGATCCCAGGCAGGCCGAAGACTCCGTGTGTTGTAAATGGTGACTGATGCGCGTTAAATATGTAGAGTCGCAAAGTCCTCCATGTTCCCATAGCAAATCAGTACCACTGGGGGTACTGATGCAGGAGTTTCCTTGTCTTCTGGATTGGTTCAAAATTACAAGGCTACGGAGTTGAGCAGTAAACCCAAACCCAAAATTGGGTCGTGAACCCAAAATTGGGTCGGCTGTTCAACGACGGATATAAAATATAAAATAAAATACATTTACTGACAAATATTTCATTCAATGTAATGATAAAAACAATACGCAAATTTGTTTTAAAAATACGCAATTTTTAAAACAATAAGCAAATAATATATTCTAGAAAATGATTTTCCATTACCAAATTAGTATTTGCTAAAATTGTAAAATATTTAATACAAGACTTAATTTTTATAAGAAAGTTATAACTTCATAAATTGTTTTCTTAAGTTTAATTTTTAAGAGATCAAATTAATGTCAGGGAAAATTTTAATACTTTCTTCAGATTTATTTTCTAAAGCTAGTTTACTAAAAACAAGATGTCCAAATTCATAGATACTGGTGTTTAAAGATAAAATAAAACGTAATGACACAACTGCTGGGGTTTACAGAGCTTTAATAATACATGAATCATAAAAATCTAAAGTAAAGCAAAGAAAATAACTTTGCAAATATACCTGTAAATTTTAAGAACTATAGATCCATAACAAATTGCAAAACCTAGACCACGAAACCAAGGTTCTATCATACAAGTAAAAATAGTTGGCTCAAAATAACGAATAATAACCTAGAATAAAGAAAGAAAAAAAAAGATTTTAAAGGTTATCTAAAAAAATCAATTTCGAGCTGTTTTGAGCAGAGTTTTAGAAACAAGTTTTCATAATCAATTCAAAAATTCTTAAATATGAAATTCCAATCAAAAGGCAGCGTTTTAAAATATCAGTTATTTTAATATTAATTTATAGTTAAACTAAAAAAAAATTAGCTGACAACTCTCTGATGATACATTCAAAACCTTATAAGAAGTATTAAAATGGCTAAAAAATTTAATTTTAATCAAATTTTCAACCACAGATTTACAATACATCATTGAAGAAAAAAGCAGATAAATATTTGTATTAATTACTGCTAATTTTTATTATTTGCACTTGGTTTGTTCCAATTAATTAGATTTTAAAACTTTGCGTTTTGTCTTTCACCATTCCGCGATTAGACCGTAAGAACAATCATCACTGAGTCTTTCCAGCCTATAAATCAAATAACATAAAATATTTATAAATACTAAAGTAAAAAGAAAGGTGTGCGAAAAAATTATATACTCAGTTCGACTAAACTTAGTGAATTTTTGTTTATTATATAAGCAAAATTTTTTTTGTTAATGCTATTTTAAAAATATGGATAGCTAATATATTATTCGTATTAGCTAAAGTTGAACATTTAGGTCAATTAGTTTTGATCCTTATTGTATATTTTATCAAAATTTAAGAAGGATTTTTATTGTAGTAGTTGCATTATTTTCTATATGCTAGGAATTCTGATAAAATCTTTTTCCGCGGTCTTCTACGAAAAGGAAAAAATAATGAAAAAACTCAAAGTAGCTTTCCTGATTGGTGAATAGTTATAGCTAATATAAGCTGGCAACCTCCTTCGGTAAAACTTTTTTTTTTCGAACTAAAATGCTGAAAGAGATGGAAGATGTAACTTGTTCCCTCAATAACAAGATTACGAAAATGCATGTAACAAAAATTTCACAAATCCTCTTTTTAGTGCTATTTTTAAATCGTTTAAAAGATTAAAATTTAAGGTGTTTTAGTACTACCAGCACAAAAGAGGAAAAGAGCGCAAAACTTACATGCTTTTAACAAAAAAGATGAAGAAAGAGATGATTTGTTTTGAATATATTTAATACATGACGTCACTTTTAATCGATGTCTCGCTGAAATCTTTTTATTACTAAAAGACGGTTGCACGAAAAAGACATGAGGAAACTTATTAATCACTTATAAAATACTTTTTAAAAGGAAATAAGCTATATGGAGGAAGGAAACTTACTGTCTGATAGAGAAGAAGAGCTCCAATCAGTATTGCTTCGTGCATCAGCCACATAACACTAGAAAATATCTTTTAAAAAAGAACAAATATAAAATGAACATGGAAAATATAATGAAAATATCATTTAACATTACGTAAAATGCAAATCCGGGAAAGATAGAAACTTTATTAGAGTAGAAAAACTCTTCGTAAATAATGTATTTTGCATGCATGAAAAAACACTACAAAAACGAATTTTTTTTTGCCTCAAAATTTAATATTTAAAATTAACTACATTGCTAAAATTCCAGATCAAATAATGGCATAAAGCCCTTTGGGTGCATCCACCGTAAAATCCATTACCGTAAAATATTGTACCGTTATTCTTATAGTAACTTTTATTTAATTAGAGTAATAATTTCAGTGATATTAAGATAATTATCACTGTAAAAATTACAATATATCAGATTTTTTGGACTGTCACATGTTCCGATAAAAATGAATTTTATGGTAAAACGTATCGGCACCCAGAGAGCCCGTACTTTTTACCGTACTAGTACAGTTTTTACAGTGTAAGTCAGCAAGGTATCAAATGAAAAAAGTAACTAGATTCAACGACAATTCACACCATTTCATTACTTTTAACCAAATTACAGTCAGATAATTTTTGGCAAATAATTTTTTTATGGTTTTGCGAAATTTCTTTTTTTTTTTTTAAATATTGTTATTGTTATTTATGGAATCTAAAACTTTTAGATTTTTTTTGCAATTTAAAGCCATTTCATGAAAATACAATAGTGTCAAGAGGATGTTAATTATATTAATTTTAATTTTTAAAGGTTTTTAGAGCCAATGCTTAGAAAAATCAAGATGAGCATTCTACACTCATGATTAGCATTTTCTAAAAAATGCTATCCATATTCTGCTTCTGAATCTAAACTATTCATTCTATTGGTTGATTTCCATCAGTAACCAAGATTTATAAATAAATTATTACTGATATTCCTCAATGCCATTTTAACCTATAATGTATTTTAATCTATAATACTTAATCTTTAAAGCAAAGAATATTTTTTTTTAAATTTTGAACATTCCGAAATTTGAGTTTCTTGCTTGAAATAGAGACATCAGCGTGCTTTTAAAGTAATTTACGACATGCTGCTATTGAAATTAACTAAGTCGTTTTAAAGCAAGCATAATATTACAACCGCATAATCTCAATCTTCAAATACATCTGATATCATAATAAAATTATAATCATACAAGTGCCGTGAAAACACAATCTGTAGTTTCTTTAAAATTAATTTAATTTAAATTTGTTAAAAAAAAAAAACTTTTAATTTAATGCATCCTAAAACTTGCTTGGCATAAAATGTACATTTATTTAAAAATATATTTAACAAATAAACAGCATTACTTACTGGACTCTTTCTCAGAACAAAAATGACAATAATAAGAATAACAACAAGAGTGCTGCAGAAGCTTTGGAAGCACAGTACAACACTTCGCAACATTAGGTCGTATTCAACATAACAAGGTTGATCACCAAAACAGACATCACATCCTACACGACAAGGCAAACACTGAAAATTATTGGAAAATTTGTTTTGTTCGTTGAGTACATTCTCGACAAATGCCTCTTCTATAACTTCTCCATCATAATAATCCCGTCGTTGCGTATCAGCAGATGCTTGGTAAAAATTGGGCTTGCAGTAACATCTGTAAGCGCCGCGGCGGAATCCTTTACCAGACGTTGGCACACACTGCAAGAGAATGGAGATTAAAAATAATTCATTTAAATAATAATCATGAATCACATTGTCGTATTTAATAATTTAAATAAATGAAAAACATGATTAGTGACAGTATAAATGTTGACTAAATAAAGGAAAGCTGAGCAGTTTAAAAGATGAAAATAAATTTTTGTGATATAAAAAAATCAAAGTATTTTTTTTCTTCTTCTTCTTAAACTAGATAAATAGCTATAGCCTCAAAAAGTGTGCATTAGTTTGCTTTTTAATTAAGAATAATCACAATTAAAAAGTAATATGCACAGTGGTAAAGTTATAGACGTAGTATGAGGCATAAAATATTCCCTGAAATTTAATTTTAAAAAGGATAATTAGACCGAAAATTAAATGTATTCTGAAAATGGTGATATTTCTTATAAAAGACTTGGTAATGTTAATTTAATAAAAAAAATTACGTTATGATTCAATTATTTAATTCTTAAATTAATTCCGTAAAATTTTGCTATATTGTTGGCTACAGGAAAAACCACTTGTTTCATTGGTGTGATCTGTCAGTTAAAATTACGGCAAATTTTAACACGGAGGGTAACTTTCAACATATGGTGGTGTGGCTAACTCAGAATAACATAATCTATAAGTTGCTACGGATAGGTTAGTCACTCTCTCAATAAATTAAGACAATTAAAACATGCATCTTGTCGGAGGTACTACTTTCTGCTAATTCAATTTCCCTTTCTAAAGCAATATTCCTGATCCAATGTGAAAAAATTTTAATGCTAAATTTATTTAAAGTTTTAATGCTAAATAAAATTTTAATTTGAGTGCTAAAGTAATCTAGTCAGTTACTGCCATTTGTATCAGAGATTGTATTTTATTACTACCGCTTTTATCTTCATATTAGAATTTTTTATACTTTGTTATGTTATTAGGACTATATCATACATGCGTCTTTCTGCAACTTCCCTTACACATGTATAAAGAATCAACGTTTCCTTACTACTCACCTTTAAATTCACGCACAATGAATCAGTTACTTATTTAAAAATAAAACATCTATTCACCCCTCCGCCTATCAAACTACACTATTGAATATTGATGAATTCCTTGATTTCTTTTGCAGTAGGCTTACAAATTTTGTAACAAAATCGAATTAGTAGAGTGCTTTTTTTCTTCTTATTTTGTAGACGTTTTCTTATAAGAGTTTTTCTTTTTTTTCCTTTTGCTCGGCGTCTATCACTAAATTGGAATATTTTTCTTTCATTATATTCTTTGTCATCGCAAGTGAAAGAGTTTTGTGAAGAAGAATAACAATCTTTACAAGTTTTGATAATTGCAATCACTAAATTTCCTAAATTCATGTTTGAAAAAAAATGAAAGATAAGCCTTTTACCATTAAAGTCCTCTTTTTCTTAAACACATTTAATGAGCAATCGTGATTCATATGATTTTGAGAACAAACAACGCATTTTAAAATAGTCACATATCAATTAGGTAAGGAGGTATTAACGTTTCGCTTTGAGATATGAGTAGTTTTCGCATTAGACTCAAATTGAGGGTATGAATATTTTTCATCCATATTTGCTACTGAAACTAAGGTGCTAAATTTATTGCCTGAATTATCATTACTTTCGGTGTTTGAGTTATGAAACCTATTTGGGTATCTGTTTTGTTTTTAAACGAATAATGATCTATTGCTAGAATTCTTAGGATTCGTCAATAATAATGCTGCTTTTCTGCAATTAACCTCATGCTAATAAATTTAGTCAAAGAAATATCAATTCCTCTATTTTATGTTTTTTACTAAAATTTAAATCCTTGGGTGTTTTTCAGAATTACTGGACATAATAGATAACTATAAGTTCCTACAACTACTCCAAATGAATGTATCTAATTTGAATGTCTACTGCTTCATATATTTATTTTAATCCTACTCTATTAAGAAAAATGTATGACGAAATTCAAAGTATAAAATTCAAAGTAGAAATTTAAAATAGATTGCACAATCATCAAAAGTAGCTGCAGGAACCTACTTAGCTGGTGTCGCGGTGGCTCAAGGGGCAGAGCTCTCGCCTTTTAATGAGGTGACCCAAGTTTGAATTCCCAGCGATTGCTGGTCGATAAGAATTCTGCTCTCAGCTCGCACCAAAGACAGTGCTGACGTAAAATGTTCTCAGTCGTACGCGGATCATGGATTAGAATGCCTTGGCCGTGCAGGCTAACCGTGGAAGGTTTTCCACTTCGTGTAACGCAAATGGGGGTTAGCTCTATCAAAAATTCCTCCATGAAGGATGGTTTGCCCCAGGGCTAAAGAGAATAGAAGGGCTAGTTCACTCCGCTCTTAGAGCTGAAGCTACGATTTCCCTCCTCATGACGTCACTGTGTCCACAGATCTCGGAGATCGTAAGCAAAGATATGATAACTTTGCATCTTTCTCTTTGTAAAAATAAGTTAGACTTTTTCTGGTTATTAGCCTTCAAACTTTACGTAATTAACACATTATTTCCGTTCATAAACATAGTTCAAAAAAAACTTTCTTGGTTATTATATTAAAAAAATACCATTTTAAACTTATAAAAATGTTTTGCTAGTTGGTGAAAATGACACGATAAATACTTTATTTTAAAAAGTTCAGTTTTAACTTTAACTATTAAGAAAAATGAAGGCATATATCGACACTTTTTTTATCTACATATTCTTTTATAAAGATAAGTTAAGTTAAATTTAGAATCCCTGATTTTAAAATATGTCGTTAATAGCAATTTGTTCATACTTAATCATTAGGAAACATCAACCTTAAACGCTAATTACTGAAACAAAATAATAATTTAGGTTCATAATGACATTAGAAATTTTACAATTGTTTATAGACATTTAAATTTACGATGATATAATTTATAGATATTTAAATTGAAGAGAATATAATTTTTAAAAAAAATCATAAATATTTAGAATAACTACATTAAAAAATATGTTATGAAATTAGGAGAATTTCAACTATATACTATATATTTTATTTATACTTTTTACTTACATTTTAATTTTCTTTGACTTTATCCATTTTTTAATTCTTTTCACCTGCATTTCTTTATGAAATAACCATTCGGTTTCTATTTAGATAATGAATTTTTATAAAAGTTCTTTACGACAGAATAAACGTATTGCTGTTTTATATTAACTGTGTCATTTCGGAATCCATTCTTCACATAGTTGTTAATTTACTTTAGGGAACACGCGAAAAATTATACTTTTTCCTTTTGTTTTTGTTTCAGAATTTTTGCAAGTTGCAATCGCGCAAACTGGCATTTCGATAATAGTTTTAAATTCTTGTAAATTCACTGCAAAAACTGAGGAAAGTCATTATAGAAAATAACAAATGTCTTAGAATATCTCGCAAAAAGAAATGATCCAATATTAGTTAGAGCTAGTAAGGCCAAACGCCCCGTTCTTGAAGTAAAAGTGCGAGCTTTGCGCCAAAGTGACGTCACTAGAGTGACGTCGGAGGATCGGCGCGGCGAGAGATACTTCAAAGGAGTGAACCAGCCCTTCTATTCTCTTTAGCCCTGGGTTTGCCCTAGTGTTTGATCCAGGAGTTCCTTTGCCTACTGGGTTGGGTTCAAAATTAGAAGTCTACGGAGTTGAATATTGATAGTTGTTTTCTGAGATCTGAGATTTCCATCTCTAATACGATCACATGCTCATTAATTTTCTTTTCCTTTGAATATTCTTCTAAAATTTCAGTTCTTAGCATTTTCCATCTTAGTTCACTGCTTACCAAATGGAATTCTTAAACATTTCTATTTTTCTTTAATTTGTTCAAAAACCATTTTAAATATCAAAGAATACAATAAATTAGAACAAAAAAAGGACCTCTACCTTAAATCTCAGTGTTTCACAATAATATTCAGAAAAATGTCTGTCTCGTATTGTTCAAGATTTGTTTGTAAATATTCGTAAATCCAATATTTGCAAAAAACCAATCACTGAGCTCGATTTAAAATCATAACATATATCATTATGAGATCAAAAAGCGATGAAATAATTATTCCATATTCGGGTTAGATGTTTTGTATCAATTGACAATTCTATTGATTTTCCAAAATCGCACTTTTAAAGCTTCATTGATAGCTCGATTACATGTAAAACAAATTACACGAAACACATCTAAAGCATTAAGTTTTCATTTAATTTTTTTATTAATTTCCATTATCTTTGCAAATCAAATTTACTGATTCCATTAGATTCTGTTAATCCTACCAAGTTTAATTCCAATCTGATTAAAACTCCACATCCGTTAGCGAAGAGACATTCTCAAACTTCTCATTTGCATGATTTAGAGCAAAAATTGTGGCTCGAGCTGCCCTAGAGCAAACATTGTTTTCTTTTTCTTCATCAGCATTTTCTTCATTAGAATAAAGCATGGTAAACAAATTAAAGTTCGCAGAGAACCTTTTGATGGAACTCTCCCACATTTGCATCATATGGAGAGAAAAACAGACAACCTCAAGCGAAATGAACGCAAAGGAAATAACTGTGTCAGTTATGAAATCGATCCTATCGAATCAACAAAATAAAATAATCGTTTATATTTTATACAAGGTTATATTCGAAAAAACTACGGGTATCGTCTTAATTCAATAGCATATTTTGCAGTTGCTTTTCGTAATTGTTATGATTATATTAAGTTAAAAAGAATTTCATGCAGTTGATTGCCAAATATTAAATTTAAAATCGAGCGATCTGTAATTTTCCGAAAAGATATCATAAAAAAATCATCGATAAGTACAATATCTTTTCTAAAAAATTTAAATAAAAAAATTAATTATGAAAAAAAATTGTTTCTAAAAATTGAGTAAAGACAACAGCCTTTATATGAAAATTATTTATTCGCTTATTTTTACGATTCTTAATGTTTCTTAATAAGAAATCACTTTTGTTTATACATATAAGTATTTTTTGGCATGAAACACTTGTCTTTCTCTGGAACTCTTTTATTAAATAATAAGTTTATATTTTTTTAAAAAAATCGTTTTGGAAATCTCTTAAGAGTAGTAGTTTATGGATATTATTTTTCTGATTTCTTTTAAAATCAGATTTGATTAAAAAAAAAAAAAAGAATTTAATACAGTTTGAAATCAAAAGTTCAAGAATTTACTGTACAAATACCTTAAAAAAAGTAGCACAATTTCCCAGCTCTGCTGTGTAATGTAGTATTTAATTTTTCTCAAGTTTTGAAAAAAAGTATCTCATAAGCTGAACCCCAATTCTGAAATTTTTGGATTTTCCTAAGAGAGTTGCAATTTCAGTTTTAAATTGAAGTATGATATGAAAGCTAAGTTTCGTTTTGAAAGTATTAAGCATGTTTTCTTTACAGATATTGAAGAAACAAATCTGTATTCATGAAAAAATTATTTTTATTTATTTATTCATTGATTACTTTTGTACTTTTGCTTACAAGAAAACACTGTTCTATTCCCTTAAGATTGCTCTTTTATGCAAAACAACAATAGCTCCCCATCTTTTCTCTAATGCGTTTCAGTTCTTTAGACAATTGTGTTTAAAACATTTTCAAAGGTAATTAATTATTTTTTATTCATTAATTATTTATCAAACTTAAAGACAATGTAAGTTTTTTATAATTATTTAACTTAATATAAAAAGCGTAGATAAGTACTAAGCAACATCAAAACACGCTTTCCATTTTGTAATAAACTCTTCCTTTATTTCAATTTTTCAGGAGTACTTCGTGATAAATTTCATTTAAAAAAGGATCAAGGATATTAAGTAGCTACAAAATATTAGCGTTAAAGAAAGTTTCAAAGAAATTGAACCAACTTCAAGCGTGGATTTATTTCAGGCGCGTCAAATGCACGGTCTACAGGCTTTCGATAACAATTGGTTGTTTTTGAATAACACCGCAAAAATATAACAATATCTATTAAATTATTATGAATGGAATATTGCTATGAAAAATAGGCAGATTTCGGAAAACTTTTTTTAATTATTAATATGTAAAATTGTAAATTAATATAAAAATAAAAAATTTATAAAGCTGTTAATCGATTTAAGAAAAAAAAACAGAAAGAATCAGGAACGCTTTAACCTGGAAAAATGATAAATTTTAGATAACCAATTTTAGTACAAGTGTCTGCAAAATTGGAAAATCAAAAGTTTTTATTTTTAATAACGCTTCCAGCAATGCAAACCATTTCCTTATTATTATTATTATTATATAAAACCTTAGTTTTAGCATCAATAAGATATAGCTCGGAGAACTTGTGCCAGATTCAACAAAATACTTAACTAAAATAGTAATTAATAAAATTCTGCTAAACAAACCATCAATAATATTAATTACTTTTTTTTTACATTTTTTCTTATTATTTCGCTGTCAATCTTTAATTTTAAGCAACAGCTGTAATGAAACGAAGCAAGCTCTTTTGCGTAATCTGATCATACGGGGTAAGTCACACTGAGCATTTTCAAATGAATCGCTATATGCTCAATAGATGTATGGGAGGGCGAGGGCAATATGAGAGAACAATTTATAAGCATATTGCAGTAATAAACATATTAGAAAGAAATTACTTACATTATTAAACATTATCCTTATTGCAAACCAATTGTAGTAAAATTCTTATTGTGTCGAATCTTATTGTATTGGAAAGAATGCTTATTGTAACCAAAGTAAAGTTTATGCAACATTGCTTTAGAAAAGACTGGAATGCAATTGATTTTTGAAATATTTTGAGTTTATACGATGTTATAGACCAGGGGTTTCCAACTGGCGGCCCGAGGGCCGCATCCGGCCCGCGATGCCTTTTTTAGCGGCCCGCGAACTAAAATATATTAGTTGTCATTTTTTTGCGAAAAATTTTCGCAAAAACTCTATATGGGTTTAAAATACTTTTCTCGTTACTAAAAACCTAATTTCTTCGTTTCTGTGAAATTTAACATACCAACGGTGCAAAGAAATTTATTTTTGGCATCCAAGAAATTATTTATTCAAATCATGTATGTTGCTTTTTCTTATTTCATTTTTTTCGTATTTTGTGAATATAATTTAGCATGTGTGTATCAGAAATTTTCTCGAAGAAATTCTCTGATTTAACTTTTTGAAGTCACTCATTTTGGACGAAAATATTCAAGCACACATTTGTAAATTTTAAATTTAAAATATAAATATCTATTCTCTGGTAGTTGCAGCAGACAAACCTCAATTTTCTCACCGAATATTTTGTGTACTACTATGTAAGTTTCAATACCTTAAAAATTAGATATCTGTTGCACATTAATTGTTTAATACATAGGTGCGCACTTGAAAGTTATTGTAGCCCGAATTTTTATTATTTATTTAATATTTTTAAAAATATTATTAATAACAATTAAATATTTTTAAAATTCTACTTCGTATTTTAATTTGTAATTCAATACTTTTGTTTTGTACAACTTGATGAAACTCTGACAGTAATATTTAATGTTCCTTCAAACATAAAAGAGTCCTACAAAAAATTTTGATAAAGTTGCGGCCCACAATTTGATTTGTATTTTCAATTGTGGCCCCCGGCCTCATGCAAGTTGGAAACCCCTGTTATAGACTATAATTTATCTATATTTGGCATGTTCATAAACATTTCTTTCAGACTCTCTTTCCATTTTATGCAGTTGAAAAACTTCTTGATAACGGGATAACGGGTGATCCTGTTAACTAAACTTTGGGAATTTCTTCTCTTCCCAATGAAAACACTGTACTAAAACTGTACTTATTTATTTACGTACTACGGAATTCGGTAATTTAACTGTACGAATTTACTTTGTTTCAATGCATCTCTTTGTTTAAGATGTATTTTGGGTTTAGACGTGTGAAAGCACTGGGAAAAAAAATCCGCATTAAATTACGGTACAGGCATTCGGTGTGCCGGTACGGGCAGTGGTGGACTGGGTTCAGTAATTGCCTCAATTATAACCCCCACTCCTAACAGCATGCTCATTGAGCTTCTAGTTGGTTGCGTTGACATGTGTGGGGTGCAATTTAAAAAAAATAAAGCACTATCTTGGTGATATGCTTCTTTCTGGCCAAGAATAATATATCGAAATATGTTATGCCGGGATTAAATTTGAGATATTGCAGTCATTGTTAGATTTATAATTAGAATGCATTTACTGATAGTATTGCATTTAACATTACATTTTATTATTGTTATGCTTAATCTATTATATTTGATTTAAATTTTTGTTGACTTTTGAAATATAACATTTTCAAATTATACAATGGCATAAAATGTAATGAACTGGAAAAAAATTCCATTCACCTTTTAGCGTATTAACATTTCTTGTCATGGAAAATTTTTGCTATGAGGAATCTTTCAATCTTTTAAAACTAGCCACAATATAAAAATTTAACAAAAAAATAAAGCTGAAAAAACTTTTACAAACCTGTGTCGTAGAAAAATCACAATGGTGAGAGGAGGAAAAGGCAGAGAAGTGAGAATCCCCATCACACTGATCAATGTCTACACCACTGAATGGCAAACTCACAGCGACGACGCCCCTGAAATAACATACATCATCTTCATATATGATGACAACTTTCTTTTATTACATAGCATTCCAATGAAATGCTCATTTTGACAGAACATTTCATTTGAATGAGGTGGTAAAATATTTGGCTGTCACTCATCTTTTATATAAATAAGGATAAATGATATTTTTCTCGTTGAAAGAGATCGATAGTTCATTTATTAAGTCATTTCAAGAGATATTCTGGTTCTTTGGAAACCACAGTTCTTATAAGGTTGAAGTTTTCTAACTAAATAGTAATAAATTAAAAAAATAATTAATTTTATTATAGTTAAATAAGGAAACTATTAAGAATTTAACACTAGAAAGACTGAAATTTAGTATATACCTATATTGCCCAAAAGCAGTCAAAATGACTGCATTGTAAAAGAATAAATAATGAGTAAAGAAATTTGTTAAAAATTAATTTGTAATATTTTTTTATATTATTTGCAGTTATATAACAAGTTTTTAGTAAATATTAACAATAAAAAAATTATATGGTGTACAAAATTCTAAGAAATTGTGTCATTATGTGCATCATTGTTTTTCTAATTGAAATTAAAAGCAGTCAAAATGACTTCCTTAGGCAATCTAGTGTTAAGTGTAACTGCTTCAGAAAAAATTGATAAAAGAAAATTTTGTATTCTTTGCTTTGTATGAATTATGCAGCTGATAAAACTGACTTAATGCTTCGCAATTTTTTATTTCACTTTAGGATTTTTTTTACGAAATGATGAATGAATATCATTCAATTTACGCCTACTGTGATTCTGTTTTAATAAAACTGCATGTGCAAACTTATCTAGGATACTTATTAGTTTTGTCTTGTTGCTTTAATATCCTAAAGAAAAGTTTTATGAAAGAAGTTGATTTTCATTTCGAACACTATTTTTTAAATTTATTAGTATTAACTAAAATCTGGAAATAAATGATATATGCAACAACAAGGCACAGTTTAGTTAAAAAAAAAAAAAGTGCTTAAATTAGCGCATTAAAATAATTCAACAGCACATTACAAATGTAATAATATGTTACTAAAATATGTTGCACGCTACAACGTATAATAAAAATTTACTTTTAACTCATTTACAATTTTTTTAGTTATTTTTGCCGGAGAGGGAGTAAATAATAGCAATGGAAAACAATTTAGAAAATTTGTAGTTTTGGTAAGCAAATTTAACAGCTATTTAGATTCTAATAAAAGAACAGTTAATTTAATTCAAAATAATTTTAAAAACATAAATTAGTCTAAAGATGCTTTCGTAAAATTATGAGATAGCATAAGCCACAATCCTGTCCCTTTACTTAAAATTTTCAGTTTTCAAATTTTATCTTGCTTTTTAAACAAAAATGCGTCAGTTAAATTTTATGTTATAGATTCTGTTTTCCCCAAAATGTAATTACTTACAATAAATCTTAGTTTCAGTTTAATAATTTTCATCCCTTACTCTTTGTAAATTATACGAAATTCATATAGTTAAAAACTGCATTTATATATATTTAAAAAAAAAAAAAGGATTATAGAAATATAAAGTTTAAAGAAAAAAATCAAACAGTGATTATTTGTCTTTAAGAATAGTTTTTTTTTAAGTTATGACATAATTCAGAATTTAATTAGTTAAAAAAAAACTTGTGTCACTTTCCTTTCTATTTTTCGCTTTTATTCACAATTGTTACTTTTTTAAAGGAAATTATTAAAATGAAAAATTAATTATGTCACTTTTCAGCAGATTGAGATATATATTTATTTTAAGACTTAAACCATTCATTAATATAAAAAGCATGAAATAAATTAGAAATAATAGCAAATACATTAAAGCATAAATCAGCATTAACTGTTTAAAAATACATTAATTAATAATTATATGTAATTAACTTCAAAAATATGCAATTAAAAACATATTTCAATTTAATGGCTTAAAAATACAATGATAAATTATTTAATAGGAAATAAATTATGCGCAAAACTTTAATTACATGAAATGAACTATCCATTAATTACTTAATAATTGTTGTTTCCTAATCACTGCACTTAGTAAACATTTTTAGAATCCTTGTAAAAAAATGAAGTAAAAAAGTATGAAATATAGAGGTCGCTAATTTATGTTTAAGCAAGGAAGAAACAAAATTTCATCGAAATCTGTTGCACCACTAAATCGGCAAAAAATAATCAAAAACAGTTTGATTACAATGTGAAAACTTCCGGATTAAATTACGGCAAAAAGTACCGGCACTCAGGGTGTCGGTACTTTTTACTGGAAAATGTCTCGCAACAAAAGATATGATGCACAGTTATTTTTGCAGTAATAATTAACGTAAAATCATTGAATCACTCTAATTCAATATTACTGTAAACATTACGGTATAATATTTTACGGGGAAAAAATTTACAATATTTTTGCGAATTTTGCCATGTAAAATTAAATACTTTAAAATGATGCAAAACACTTTATACCTTACAATTCAAAACCTTTTCAACTTTTATTGAGTAAAATAATAAAAAACAATAAATAATTATAAAAAACATTTTTTGCATAAAATTATCCTTGGATAAACGAATTTTATAGTTATGTGCAAAAATTTTTCAATTTGCCTTGGTAAGTTCTCGAGATATGGCGAAATGAGCAAAAAATAAAATTAACATTATTTTATTTTTCCCATGTTTTGTGTGTATTTTATCGGTTCAAATTTTTGATCGATCTCCTGACTAAACTATTTACCAGATTGCTGCTGCCCCCTTTACTTTGGGAGTCAAAAAAAAGGTAATGTTTATTCAGAAAAAATACGTTTTTGTGTCGGTTAACGTTCTATTATATACGATCATTAAATGAAAAGTTATTCAGGGTGATCCTTTTTTTTTTTTTCCTTTTTTTTGCGCAGTGTACTAGATAAAATTTTTGAAATATGGAGGTGTTTCTAACTCTTTCCTTTCTACCTCTCTCTACTTCCTTGGGTATTGAAGCAAGTTTTGGATGTTTTTAATCCCACTTTCCACAGCAGTTTTTATTCCCTCGCTTGACCTTTAACCTTGTCCCGTGGGCTGTGACAGCAGTTGTCACATCTGAACTTGGGATCCTCTGGTGGGTCTATGACACTTTCAGCGTAAGAATGGGGGAAGAAATTTCTTTACAGGGGGAGGTGTTTTATTGTTTTAATGTTTACATTTGTTTACATGTTTTTCTTTACATTTCCCACCTACCTTCAAATATCTATTTCAAGTATGGGTACATGGTTGCTTGTCCGCCGTTTTCTTTACTTCGCTTTCAGTCAGTATCAATGTTGCTACTTTTTTGTGCAAATTTTTCTGTTCAAGTTGTAAATTGTTTTTAAAAATATTAATTTCTTTATTACAAATTTAATTTAATGAATATTTTCAATTATACATAAAAAAATGGAATAATAAGAATCGAAAAGCGTCTTTTTAAGTAAATTAAATCAAATTGATATAAAATATCGAAGCAATATATTTTACATAAACTCAAATAAATAGTAAAAATAATAGTTTACATAAACTCAAATAAAGTTTTTTTTTCAGGTTCTGTTTTAAATTCGTGTTATAAATGTAGTTATTGGAACTTTAAAATTTTGATTATAATTGCTGCAATAGAAAAAAAAAGTTCTTACATGATTTTAAATAAATATCTGCATTTCCGAAAAAAATATGAATACATTTCCACGCAAGAGTATTCATTCATAATTTAGGATACATTAATACTTTAAACATCACATTTATAAATTTATAATTCATAATACTAATGTATTTTTTATGTTTTTGAATTTGAAATCATAAACGCTATTTTTAACTTTTTTTTAACAAAACCATTTTTCTTTTGTGGCAATTTTCATGTTTCTTTCCCTCATGTTACACACAGTTCAACTTTAAATTATAGTTTCCATAAATTCTTTTAATATCTCAGTATTTTATCTTTTTATGAGATAAAAGCTAAATTTTTAAATATTAAAATTCCATAAATCTATTCAATTATTAAGTTGAAGTCAATTGGGAAATTGTGAATGACTATATATTAAAAAATGTAAAAACGAAATTTTTTTTAATTATATATTCTACGCAGTTACAATAAAGTGCTTACTTTTCATGAAATTTGCAGCAAAATAAAAGAAATGAACCCGATTGTTATATGTTAATCATTTGCAACTGAAGCACACTAACTGAAATATTTATGAGTTTTCGCGTTTAAGGAACTATTTTAAAATGACGTAAGAGAAGTTGAAGAGAAATATTCTTAGAAATTTAGAGCGCATATTAGATTCTTATTAAGAATTCATGGGATGAAGGTGCTGAGAAATATGTTATTAATTTAGAATTCGGTTAACGCATAAATTTTTTTAAAGGAATGATTTAAACTATTATATACTATTTACGAAAGAAATTTAAAAATTACAATCTTTAGATAAAATTTTAAATTTTCAGAAATGTTACAAATATTTATGATGTATGATATTGATATTTATACTGTATAATATAGATATTTATAATTAACTAAATTAAGACCACGAAAAAGAACTCTTTATGCATATAAATATTGATTCAAAGAAAAATTGATTTTGCTCGCGAGCAAAAAGGGTTTTCCCGCATTGTGACCTATTTTCACTGCATAATAACTCTCAGGAAGAACCAATTTCACACTATATTGATTTGTTAAAACATGGTTATCCTCAAATTGCAAGAGAGGACAATCTATCCGTTATTTATGTGAAAAATGGATATAAACTGTGCCTTTGGTTTTCAAAATTTCCAACGTTTTTTAACTCAATAAGATTACAACCAAATGTGTAATAATATTATTACATTTTAAACAGTAAAATTTTTATATTTCATTACAATACGTTGAACGTAGTAATGTAATGGAGTAGGCAATGACATACCACAATTACAATAATTTTAAATTGAATATCTGATAAAAAAATTTTGATATCGCGAAAAAAAACTTCTTAAATAACCTTTAATAGAAATTCAGAGTGAGAAGG